CTGCTGAGGCAAATTAATACTCTTTTGTTTCTCTGGAGTGACCACCATAACAAGAAAAAATCTTACTGTAAAACCACAGCACTAGATACAAATACTTTTTTTCTCTTCCGGGGAAAATGAGAAAAATTCAAGGAGCTATTGAAAGTTATCTGGAGCACACATAATCATTCATCAGTAAAAGCCAATTTCTACAGTAAAAGGTATCTTAATCTTCAAGAGAATTACTATAAATTCTAAACAGGACTGAAAGGCCTTTTTGTTCTAGCAGAGGGATGCAGGAGGGAAGGAAAGTTGCATTATACAACAGTGTGAAGTCTTGTATTTCCTGTTTTTCAACAGCTGGAAGCTCACCTAAATGTTGTTTGGAATGCATTCCTCTTAACTCACTGCAGTGGGATACAGATTGAGCCATACCTATGGCAAAGTCCCTGCTCCCCAAACCATGACTGTCCAAGAAGGCTGTTCTTAGCCTCTAAGGACCAAACTTTAAAGACTTCCGATGGTTCAGAAACACAATAAGTATGATCTAAGTCATAAGACTTAAGGCGCAGAATTTGTGGAGGGGAAAGAAGGGAGTAACGTACCTGGGGGTTTTATCTCATGCAACAAAAATTGTCTTTTAATTCAGAAATTTGAAAGGCCAAAGTTCTCAGCAGGGTGGGCATTAATAAACAATACAGAAGCAGCAGGAGGCATAAGGAAAAATGTATGAATTCTAAACAAACTTGTTAATTTTATATGTGTGTATAAGGAAACACATGGCACCCAGGACTGAATAACATTAGTGAAGCTAAATAGGTGCAGAAAATGTCTAAGTTTCAGTTTTTAAGCTTAGCAAATTGAATTGGAATGTGACTCCCAGACATGCCTCTAAGACACAGCTGAAGAAGCAAGAACTACAATTCAAGAGATCAAGTTAGCCACTATTTCATACTTACCCGACAAAGCTTTTCCCAGTCACATCACAAGGGTTCAAATAAACTTGATACAGTTCGCATCTGAATAAGTTTCACAAGTTATTTTCCCCCATGACAAGTACACATAACAAAAATATGTATATATCTGTGTATACTGCCTATAGCAGATTGAAAACTTGGATTTCATGAGGTAATCCTCAATCAGAAAGCAGCTCTTATCACCAATGACCAGGCAGGAAACAGTGATTCAGAAAAAAGGGTTTTTCAAAAACACTACTGTACCTGTAAATGTACTACTATTCACCTATAGTCACTAATGAAATTGTTTATGAAAACCTGGGAAAATTGTGGCTTTCTGTCACTTTCCCATGCTAAGGATGCAATACAAATAAATTTCATGACTGGGTTTATGCAGTTACAAGTCACTCACACTTTAAATAGCACTGTTATAAAAAAACCCAAAACACCACTGTGTAGTGAACAGCCACTGTAAGCACATCAACTCAGTGATTCATAATAAAAATGTACATTTTTGATCAACAAAAAAAAAAGACAGGCTTCCTTTCACGGGTATATATCTTAAATCTGTAACTTCACCAGTAAAAGGTGAACCCTACATCACTTTAGAAATTATAATTTCAATTAATCTCGCTAATCCAGTGCTTGAAACAATGCTGGTAAATAGTATCAATTTAAAACCAGACTAAACCAATTTATGAAAGATCAGATCATAGAAAACAAGTAAACTCAAAAGTCGAACAAAAATGTCCACACAAGAGACTGCACCTATTGACTTAAAAATTAGTTAAATCCACATTTGAAAAGCAGTAGATTTCCTGTGCCAAGTTCCTGAGTGCTTAAAGTTTAGACAGTAAGAAGTTTAAGAGATTGCTTGGGCAGATTTGAAACACCATGTTGAATTCAGGGAATAATTCTGCTGTTAAATTTCAGACAAGATGTGCACTTCCAGCAGAAAGAGCCAATAGAAAACATTTTTGGCAAAGGAAAATTCAGTGAGGAACATGACATAAAACAAAGCTCCTTCAAACTAATGTGTAAAAGTGCTACCACATACCATACTACAGTTCTCAAAAAGAAGGCTGGCCAGGGAAACTGCTGAGGCCAAGGCTTTCGAGGTTCTCCAATCTCCTTTAATTCTTCCTTTCAAGTTGTTATACCTGCATGTTCTCAGAGTCTCCCGTTACTGTCAACTCTACAGCTCAGAGTTGTTTTCTTTGTGATGAGGCAGGGAGAAAAGCCTTAAGGATAAATCTCAGAGGCTCACATCCTAAAAAATGGTTTTTGTCATTTTCTCAGCATTTAAATAGCACGACTGAACACCTGAAATTAGTAACATCCCTGAACTCAGCAGCAGCCATATTCACAGATAACTTAGACAGGTATCAGCTACTCAAAGTGGTGCTATATCTCACCTCAGTCTATTTCTGTTACTATCACATTCATCTCAGTTCATTGGTTCGTTTACATGACTTAGAACATAGACACAACTGCTGATTGACACATTTACGGTCACAAGATACAGAAGTGCATCCTCTACCGTACTGTACAGAGTCTGATCTTCAGTCTATAAAACAGTCATACGACCAGCAACGTCAGCAGCTGTAGAGAAGTACAAAAAAAACAGACGTACTTCCACAGCAGTCAACTTACTGAATTTGTGCAATTGCACAGGTCATGAAACTGAAGCCTATCAGGTTCTTCTGCAAGAATATCAACAGCCAATGTTTTGACAGAAGTACTCTTCTACAGGCGTTTTTTCTGTAATAAATACAAGTATCCTGAAATGCACTGTTCTGAAGTGACAGGCTGGACCTTACAGTACTAAGACCTCTTTTTCACACTCCGAAATAAAGATTTAAGAAATTGTAAGGTTTTTTCTCCTGTGAGATGCAACCAGATTTCAAGCTTTCTACTCAATGGTCAGGTGGTCCTGCAGAGATCATCTATGCTTATTAGATCAGTACACTCTACAGAACTTTTCTGCTCTCTGGAATAATAATGTCAATGAAACGGAAGTCTGAATTCACCACAGAGTTAAGCACTGGAAGTATAAATTTGAAGAGAGTTCTTTAAACCCCAGTGTTGTACTCTGCAGCCATGAAAAGGTTAGCAACACCGACAGACATGTAGTACTTCCATAGCAGGCTAGAAAATAAAATGAGGAAACAGATGCTAAAAATCTAAGAAAGAGAAAAGCTATTTTGGTTGACATTTCACTATGAAGAAGAAAGTGGCTCTGTATTCTTGTCAATTTGCCAAAACCAGGACATATCTGCACATTACTCCAAACTCTAAGGAGAATCAAAGACCCATAATGATTTGTAGGTTATCAATTTCAGATGCTTCAGATAAAACTGAAAAAGGCTCTACTGTCTAATGCGGCTAAATCCCTTTGATGTACACTGTTAGACCTAACACCAAAACCAGGCAGTAGAAATACCAAAGGATGCTATCGAACACCACAGAGCAGTGAGGTCATTTTACCAGCAGACCAAACACAATTTCACATAAAAATCACAGATTTCATCCACTGCATCAAGGTGGTCAAACACTGAAAAGCACAGTTAGCTTCCATGTCATTTACCCAATTCACTTTTTAACTATTAATTCTGCAAGCAGATGGATCAAAGAATGTTTTTCTTTCTACCACAACGCTGCTTGTTAACCTTAGCTGGAAGGTTGAACTCTTTGGATTGTAGCACATTCATCATCTATTTGATGTTTGTTCACAGACAGAATAATTGAACAGCAGCTGACAAGACAGATAACTACTTCACAGAAGCAGTCCCTTAGAAAAAGGTAAGATAAGCAAGATAGCCTTTCATTTGTCAAAAAGAAACAAAAGATTTACAGCCAGCAATGTTTTTAGTGACTAATGAGAGAACAGTATTAAATGTAGCGTTACCTTCGTAACCGTGATAGTTGTAGTAGGCAAAGTGATTCCTTCTCCCTGGGGTTAGAAACACATGCAGAGGACCCAGGTGAAGGCAGCACCAGCAGGACAGATACCATGCAGAACACGCGGAAGACAGCAGGAAAAGAAAAGACAGGAAAGGGTGAAACTGTAGCCAGACAACAGTTACTCAATTTATAAGGATGAAGTGCATTAAACTCTTTCAACTTTAGAAACTCCATAGAATATAAAGACATCAGTACTACAAAGCTACTGAGTGAAACAATCTTTATTGTTTAGAAAAGCAACAACAAGCTGTTAAAAGAAAAATACGAACAATAGGTCAGTCCCACAGGCAACGTGCAAAGGCTTAGTACACCGTATTGCCACCTGTGGCATTTCAGACTGTTCCTCCTCTCTGAGTTAATGGATGTCCTGCTCCACTGCCCAAGCACAATGTTTTAATACTAAAGCAACTAGGCTCCATGAAGACTAAGAGTTCAGAGCACAGAAAAAGAAATCAAAAGTGCTATTAAAAGAACACAAAATATTAATATGCAAATCAAACCTCAGAATATAGAACACAAAATACACTTCATATATTCTGTGTACTGCTAACTGCATCTGGCTTTTTTAAAAACAAAAGCAAAGCATACACTATTGACTATGAATTTAACCTTTTTTTTCTGCAGTTCTGGTCAAATTTTCAGCACCAATTTCCAACCTTGCTTCCCAAAAGGTGAACAACCAGACTTGAAATTGTAAATCACTTGTTTGGATACCTGAGTGTATTCGGGTCACACTTAAAAGAAAAAAGAGCTGTACATAACTAAGTCACCAAAAATGAAAGTCCATATCTAAATCTTTAGACAACAGAAATTAAGAGTAGAAGTTGTATGTGTTTTATCAGTTGTTGTGCTATAAACAAACAAGCTCCTCTGGCTGTTCCTAGATCATAACATTAATTGGAAATTACAATGCAGCCCAGACAGTTGCAATGATGTAAAAAATAAAACCTAGCCTTGCTAGTGAAGGTTCCATATAGTCTGAAAAACGGTTAGCAAGTAAGTTTAATTTAAAAATCATGTTCTTGTCCTTCTAAAAATGTATTTTTCATGTACAGCACTGTCAAATATATCTTACAAGGTACACTACAGTATACTTCTGAATGTAAATAAAACAAACCAGATTTAAGCAGTGCTTTTCTGGTTCCAACTCCAAATCACAAGACAACACGTTAAACTATTTTACATATTATCAAGTTTTAAACTCCAAAATCCAAAGAAACTTGAAGACTGAATTTTTTGTTTTCTAAACACTTAAAACTTTGTATTTGAAACCATGCTAATAGAGACAGAGTATTAGGTTAATCATTTCTCCCCTTTTATGACTCCAAACACTTGCTATTAAAATTTCAGTAGCATAGTGATACGCAGCTCTACTTCTAGATAGGTCCAATTCAGAATCTGACAGAAGAACAACTGCTGTGGCATTCACTTACACTGCCAACAGACTTTCTTGTGCTTCCAATGAAAGTCTTGCCTTTGAAAAGATCTAAATGACTATGTAATAATGTAATTTAGATTATTAGGTAAATTCTTACCTGGGCTTAATTCTACCAGGTATGGTAATTTCTCAGGAGGAAGACAAGAGCCATAGCCAGACCCGTCAACTCTTTCCTTCCCCTTTAATGGCTTTCCATCAGTTATTTTCTTGGATTTCTTTGGGACATAATCAGGAGGCCGCCTTTTCAACTGAAAGACTAGTATTCCTAAAACACAGTGTTATACATCCTGTGAGTCTCAAAACCAGTGAACAAGCACACATCAAACATCTATTAATTTGTAAGTGTTCCATAGGATTACTTTCAGCTTACTAAGTTCCTAACACTTCTTTATGTAGTTATTTTTAAGTTAAAACTATTTAAAAGATTAATAGTATGCTTCTCAACAGCAGATAATTTAGAAACTTTAGGATAAAATGTAAGACTTCTACTTTCTAAAGACATATTACTATATACAGTGCTGACTGAAATAGTGTACAACTCTAAGAGCACCTAGTATTGAAAGTGCCTGAAAACAAAACATTTTAAAGTATATATTCCACTTTCTTACTTTACAGAGGGTCTACACTACGGGTGACAACACCCAAGGCACTAAAATCTCTTAAAGCTTTTTAGACATACCTTTATCACTAGGCCACTCCCTGAATATCTGCAGTGGACACTCATCATCATCAAGAATAGTTTCTTTAGCACCTTTATCATCGGAGTGCTGAGCACCAGGAGGCAGCAAGACCTAGAATAGAACCATTATCAGTTTCTAGAGCTATTAGTGGACAATTAAAACAGAGGATTCAGGAGTATATCTTCTAGGGTTTTTTTGTTTGTTTATAACAAGAGATAAATCAAAAGAATTCTTTAACTTGAAATGCATTTTGCTTTGCAAGACTTTTTCTAACTTTCTTGCTTGACTCTTGTTACAGTTAAATCACACTTCCCAGAACATCAGATATATTTAAAAAGCAAAGGAAAGCAAGTTACAGTTAAGGTAGACAAGACTATCTTCCAGTAAACAAAATTATTCCAATTGCGCAACAGCCAAGGGGGGGAAAAAAAAAATAAAAATCTGTGGAGGTGATAGTTGAAAAATAAAACCGAGGTTTCCTTTACTACCTCACGCACTGGAATCAGCCTTTCATTTTGCTAATACCATACTGCTAATACAACACATAAATATCTTTAAAAATGGCAAGACAAGTTGCCAAAGCGAATGTCATGGTACCTCCCGCATCCTTGTCTCATCCAACCTTTACCTGGTCTACAAAGAGACTAAGGGCGTGTCTGGAGCATTTCACACAACTGCTTCATGCTGTCTAGCTTTAAGAAAGAGCCAAAACTAAGTATGTTTTGGGAACAGAACCGCAGTGTTCATACTTTTTACAGCTATAGCCTTACAAGGTAGAGGAAGGGGAAGCCTTGATTCATGAGGTCTGACTCTACAGGAGACGCAGGCTGTCATTTCACGCACATTTGCATTACTGCTCCCCACAGTGATCAAGCATAAAAAACAATGAGAGTGCATGAATATCCTCTAAGTTTAATCTAGATCTTTCAAAGCTGAATAAAAAAATAAAATAAAATACATTTTACTCCCTCATTTGTGATCCCAATAATGTTATTTAAATTCACAGACAGCTCTATTTTAAACAAACTACTCAAAATTATTCCCATCTCTGAGCTATGATCCAAGTAAAACCTTCGGAAATAATGCAGCTATTGGCTACTGCACCTTACTACGCTGCAGCACTCGAGAGGCTTTCCACTCTTATTTGTCACTCCCTTAACTAAGTTCTCACAAATCCACCTCAAACGTCATTTCATCTTCTTCCAAGCAGGAAACAAATATGTTTAAGATCAAGAGTATGTAATTGAGTCATTGGTCTTTCCTTAAAACATTTTCTATGCAAAACCTGGCTAAACATAGGACTAATTAAACTATCTTTAATTAGATTTCAAACAGACAAGATATTATAAAACAAGGAAAACATTAAAATGTATAAACCAAAGGGAAACAGAAACACTCCTACACTCAAATATCAACTTGCCAAACCACTCTTTTCTATTTCACATCTCAGATTTCAAAATCAATTATACCTAGGGGATAATTTTGATTAGCTAATTAAAGTAACACTGTGTTTCAAGCCTTCTTCAGCAAGCAACAATTTTTAAATCCTGCAGTCCACGAGACAGAAGGTAACTGGGTACAACACAAGAACTATGTGCTACAACACGCCTACCAGGGGCTGACCAATACTGCACGGGGGAGTTAACCAAAGAAGACCCAAAGTTAGAGGACAGATGAGATAAATACACAGGTGCTATTAGTTGACCCTGATACTACTTCTGTCTTGGAACCTCGATGAGCATCTGTGCTTGATGTTGGGTTTAACAGCAGCAATAGTAAACTAGACAAGTTAGAGAAAAGGGGTCACAAAAGCACTAATCTCCTCATCCTCCCAGCCAGTTACTGTTCTGTTCATCTCTCAGGAAGTGTGAGCTGATAACTAAGACGTATCTCACTAAAAAAAAAAAAGTGCGTGACCTAACCTGCGGAAAGACACAAAGCACCACATCTGAGCTTATGCAGTCCAGCAGGCTTCTAATTGTGATGATGCTGGTTTAGAGAATATCTCTGTGTTTTAGGCAAATGCTACCTCAGCGTCACCCACAAAGCTGAAATTCCTACATTTTAGAATAACAGAAAAACATGGAAACAAGTTTATATTAGGATGGGGTTTTGGCTTCTGGGTAGAGATTTGCTTTTGTTTTGAAAAGTAGAAGATGCAGTTAAACATCCTTTCGTGAATCTGAATCCACAGACTGCTGAGATCAGGCACAACCATTTCCCTCATTTCTGCAACAGCGTAGGAAATGGAGATGGGTAAACTGAGCTTAAGATCACAAGCTTTGGAAGCAGGTTGTCAGCTGACAACCTGCAAACTGAAACAAATTCATAACAGGTAATTAGGAAGAATATACTCTGCTTCCTTATAATTGCATTCATGAGCATATACTAATTATCATAAAGTCATTCCAATCTCTATTTATTCATTTAAAATGCAGTGAAACATGTAGAAAATACAAGCTAAGAAATTTAAACGAAGTTCATAGGAACTTAGGACTTAACTTCCATGGCATTTGCTGGGATAAACAAGTAAGAGAAGATAATACTCAAATATTTAAGCCCCCTGTGGTAAAGTAATAGCAACAGATCAAGTTATCAGATCTATTCTTAGCAAAAGTTTCACAAGAGAAAGCCCCATGCTGTAATAGATCTTCAATAAGCTCTTTTGTCATTTTACTGTTTTTTAAATAAAAACCTCTTATCTACTGTATGTTTTAATATATCTGCTTATTCGAATGAATTGATCCTCAATTTTCCGTATTTCAAAAAGTTATTTATGCCTTATCATTGAGTAAAAACATAAGAGCACGATAAAACAAAAGTCTAATCAAGATTCTACATTTAAGAGTTAACTGGTTTGCTGCATGCCTCAGGTCTTATGCCCTAAGTGAATATGCACAGGTAGCTTGGAAGACTGTCTAATTAATTTGACATCTTAAAAGATGTGCAGCGAACCTTGTATTATTCAGGAAAACTCAAACCAAGCAAACTGAAACAAACAAAACGTATATCGGAACATACTTGTATTTACTTGATTACATAGGAAAGCACTTCAGAAGTGGGTATAAAGGTACAGCCCGATACACCACAAACCAGGGTATAAAAGCAAGCAACAAACAGGAAACTGCCATTTATAATAAAAGTTGTCAATGGTAAATGTTAAGAAAAATTATTACAATGTTAATCTTTCAACTGAAACTTCAGAAGTGAGTGAACTTTATTACAGGTACTTATACAACCTTATAAAGGTCTTGTCATAGAACTTAAAATCTATCTTAACATTTAAGTGTCAACTGCTTAAGTCTTCTTCGAAGACACTTCACCTGCCACCCAAAGAGAACAAAACATTTAAAAATCCCAAACAATCAAACTGAGTTATACATTCCACTGCACACTGTATTAAACTCAACAAAAAGTAAACAACAGGAACATGTGCAAGACAGATTTGTCATCCACAGAACACTGTAAAGTGTCAGAAGAGGGGCAAAAGGCCCACCAGGAGTAAAGAACGGCTACAAGACCTCAGTGTAAAGGAGCACCAATGGCCATGACATCTGTTTAGCACTGCATTTGTGAGTTTCCAGAAAAGAAAAGAGTGACAAAAAGACACATTAAGCTAAAGTTAGGATATTTTAATGTTTCAAGCAAGGAAAGCAACTTCAAAAAGTATTTGGCAAAAAGTAGATTTTAAAGTTATGTTAAAAATTCTCAACTTTATTAAAAAAGGAAAGATTACCATATTTAAAAACCAAGCACTGTATCAGTAGAGGCTCTGAGAAAGGTCAAGTAGATTTCAGCCAACTACAATGACTTATGGTGAGCAAAACAGTAAGGTCTTCTACACTTTAAAGGTATAAAAAAAGATCTGCTATTAGCCAATGAAGACCACTCACACATTTCAAATGTAAATATAAGCACACAACTTACAGCAGAATGGAAACTTACTATATCAAGAAGATGTGTTGATGAGAAAAGACAAAATATTTTCCAGAAGCGCTTTCCAGAAAACTAATTTAAATCAATTTGCTCCACAGCAAAGACTTTTTTAATCTTTCCCAAGATCAAAGCAACATTCCTCAGACTATTTTCTACATTAAACACCCTCACACAAGATCAGAGAACAAGGGGAGGTGAGAGAGAATGCCCCCATCACAACAGAGACTTGCAATAGTTTCCCTGGTAAGTGTGCAATCAGTTCAATCAATTCCCTAAATTATAAATATTTCATAATATATCATAATACCCTCTAACTTTGAACTAAACAGACTGATGCAAAACTACCTTCCAAATTCAGTCACAATGTCTCTGCTGGAGCTCACAATTCTCTCAAACCAGCAGAAAAATGAGTGTGTCAAGTCAATAGCCCATTTAGTAAGATTAATGACAGAATCATGAATTTCATTTACAAAACCCACAATATGAAGATAATTGTCTTAATTAAAACTACACATAAAAAATACTTCACAGCCAAAACTGAGAATCAATTTTTAATATGCTGTGTCATTATAAAAAAAAAACACTACTTAAAAAATTATTCTCCTCTATAATAAAAACCTATGTAAAATTTTACGGCAGTTAAGTAAAATTAACTTTCACAGTTGGGACCCCAATTACAGGTTAATGAAGACAAGGATAAAATGTCCAGAACTGTATTAAAAATATGTCCAGAACTAAGACAAAACTGTTGAAACAATAAAAACCAATATTAGTTCACTGTTGTAAAACTACAAAAGCATTACCACTGTATGGTTTCCGTATTACTAATCAGAACATTAGAGCAACATGTCAATTCCCAGCTAATTATACCACTAAGGGCTGTAAGCACAGTAAAAGTAGACACTAAGGTTACACAAAGACACATAAAGAACACATCAGAAAGCAACTTTAAGACCAAAGAGATATCCACATCCTTTAGAGTAGCTAGAAAGCATGGGGAGTAACAGATAGTAAAAGCTTCCCTACTGTTTTCCAGTGGCACTTTAAGCACCAGAGAACAGGCAGGGGAAGAGAGCACAATATGATGAGACAAACATTTTTCCCTTTCTTTCATCATTTTAAGGAGCAACGAATCCAAGTTTATTAGATAAACAATAGCCAGAAACATAACCAAAGACTGGACTCAAAGATCAAACGTTTTCCAATCTCACTATTCTCCTTCGTAAGATGAAATGGACAGAAGTTTGTAATCTTTAATCAGTACTGCCCATTGGACTTTTTGATAAAGTCATACCTCTAAGAAACAGCAATTCTGTACAATTAATTTAGAACTCCTAAAATAATTATATTCTTAAAAAAAAGCAAAAGTTTCACTCAAATGTTTAATCTTTTGTGATGTGTAATGAGGGTAACCTACCACTGTATAAGACAACAGCATATAACATCTACCTTTCATACTGGAGTTTGGCCTCAGCACTTTTGCCTCTGAGCAGATGCTCTTAGTTCAGGGGAATAGTTTTGTGCACAACCAGCACAAATTTAGGTATCCACAGGATTAACTATTAGTTTATATATCTGCAAACCATAAACATACTTAGTGGTATAAAACCACAGTGCCAAATACAGAAATATGTTACTATATAGATAAACATTAATGATGAAAGTAAGTAATAATTTAGTAAGATTGGAAGATTTAGATTTTAAAAACAAAAAACCTAACAAATCACTTCACAATTCCTGAGGCTGTCAGATTGAAAAAAACAAAATTAAAAAAAAGTTAATCGCAGAACTATCGGAGTCTTTTCATTTAGTTTTAAAGTTACTGTAAGGAACAAAATCAAATATGAAGCACAAGAAGATTGTGACTTAGTAACTTCACTTACACGAGCAATACAATAATCCTTGGGATTTTCCTTCTCCAGACCATATTTTTCCAGTGCTTCGACAACTGCAAAGTCTGCAGTATCCGTAGTGGACAGCAGGATTGTCTTGTATGGTATATTTGGTTTTAAACTGTCTGCATAAATTCTCAGTGTCCCACCTTGGAAACAAAATTTAATTAACACCGCTACCAGAGAACAGAGAGACAGACATGCAGCCATTTATTATATTTCTAACAGAACATAAGAACAAACTCCTTCAGAAATCGTTTATTCAATTCACTAACAAAAGAATAGTTACATAACATTCCTGAAATAAATCTGTCTCTGCCATTGGTAAAAAACTCCAGTAATGCTTTCCTCATTTCTCTAAGCAAGGTTTTCCCCAGTGCTTCCCCATTCTCAATATTGCCTGAAGCTAAAATGAAACAGAGACAATGACTGAAAGAAGAACTGACCTTTCCCATTTTGACTGCAAGTTTGTGCTGACCTTCAAGAAATCTCCCCTCTCTTGAAAAAGTCCATTTAAGATTTCCCTCACCAGCGATGTTTTCTACACCTCTAACTCCTTCTTCACTACCCTTCCATGGACAGGCTACATCATTTGAGGTTTTATCAGTACTAATATTGCTTCATTTGTTCATGTATTGCTGATGTTTATACAGCCACTGTGATCTTTATCCCCACCCCCAAGAACATAAAATATCTGATCACTGATATTCACAACATCTACCAGAACCCTTTGTGCAGCCCTGAAGAATCTCTACTTGCCATCTTATATTTGTGCTACTGATTGCATTTTTACGTTCAGGTCATTCAGCTTGTTCTTACCAAAATGAATGACATTTATTTCAGAAGACTTTCTCACTTTGTCCGTTTAATCAGTTTAATTCTGTCCTTCCTTCTTTCCTGGTTTAGCACTGTTAGCAAGATCAATGAGCATATTCTCTCCCATCAATTTGTCCATCACTGAAAGCTTTGACTTGTACTAGTCATAGAACACTCTTGCAAAATTTTACCTCTAGAAATTCTTCATTATGTTAGATTATGGATAAATTAGCCATGAAGTAGAAAAAATGTTGGAGAAAGCAGAAGTTAATTCAAATTTACAGGAAGTGCTGGCCTTAACAATACTTTCTCAGTAAACAGTTTACTGTTTACAACTAAACCAAAAGAAATACAAGTACCCGAGTCTGGTCTGCCATCAGAACTGCGAAATTCCTGCATTCTCTTCTCCAGTTTTTGCTGTCGCCGCCGTTTCATAACCACCTCGGGATTGGATATTGTGCGAGTGAAGCTGGTCTCAGGCATATCTTTGTAAACCTCAGCTGCAAGGCGAGAATTCTCACTGCCAAGTTAGTTTAAATAAAAAGGAAAAATTGTCATTAACAGCTTAAAATACATACATTCTTATCACTTCCTAAAGGATAAAAGGCAAGTAGAATCTATACACATAGGAAATCAATTAAGTTATTTTAAGATGGTTTCTACACGAATCTCACTTTTGCTGGGATTAACACTGTTCAAGTATCAGTGCTCACCTGAACAGACAACAACCAATTTAAGTATTGATGGTTGCTAGTTTTCAAAGAAAAAAGAGGCCTTCTACCTCTCAGAAGAAAAAAAAAAAAGCATTAAATAAAGTTTGCGTTATACCTCTAACTTTATTCTAATTTATAAAAACTGCAAAATGTAGAACAGAGTTAGCATGTGCTTGCAGCTCATGCTTTTTCTTTTCCTAATGCACTTACATACAATTCTATTTTAATTTAAAATAATTAAAGCTAAGTGACAGCACAGGATATTGTAAAGATCATGCTGACATCTGAAGAACATTGCAAACATATCCATGCAGAGCAGTACTCACATATGAAAAATAATCATGAACTCAAAAAAGTTTAAGAAAAAAAAAAAGAGCTGAGCAGCTAAATCCTTTATTATAAGTCAAGCAGTCAATTAATTTGTTTCATCTCTGAGAATTTGTTATGAATTAATCAGTTTTCATCATTCCATTTTCTTTCTGGTATGCTAAAAATCCACCACTAATGATTTTTTTTTTTTCCTAGTGTATTACATATGAAACCTACAAAATCTGGTACAGAGACAATGTTTAATTTAATGTAGACCTTTCTCAGCTTTCTAGTTCTACATACGGTTATCCATGCCTGGCTCTTGCACTCCAGTTTTCTCTACAAGGATTAACGTATGTCCTACCCTGTCTCACTGAATAAGGCGCAGCAGATTTGGGAGTGAGAGCTGAAGAACCTGGAAGATTGGCTACCAAAATACGTCTCAAAGAAAAACAAACTGACAGTCAGGTGGTAAGTCAAATATAAAACACCTACACACATACTAATTCTTCTGGCAAAAGACAGAACAATCAAACACAGGGAGAGGAATAAACA